GCGATACAATTAATGCCATACTGTGATGGACATAAAATATGGGTATATATCTGAATCACAGGTTCGTTTTCTTTGATAATTCCGTATGTTTGCATACAATTATACTATAATTTTCGTTTCGCAACGGCTCTTTAGAAAATTCAGTTTTTCTCAGGATTCGTGTAATTGGGTTGTTAACCTGGATACCGTCAAAAGGCACTCCACATTGGACGTCTTTCACAGTGTTGCTATTCATTGCCAAGTATGTTAACTCAAGCCTCCATGCACAACTGTGGAATAGGATTGCAACAACGACGAGCAGAGGGATAACTCCGTTGAGCCCAGACCTTCCTGGTCCAGTAAAACAGACCAACATCATGTTGGTCTCCTCATCTGGCTTCACCTGTGCATAGCCCACTTGGCTGTAAGTTTATAAAGTTCGTCTTACTACCAGCACTGCTCACTTGGCTACACGTTTAAGTCACTCGTACTGTCAGGAATGCTTCCCTGTTTGTTTACATTGGCTCTGTGGAGTTGGCTCAACACCTCTCTCTCTCAGTCTTGCGGCGAGTATATGTATCTGCTTCCATTAACAGTGAAATTCGTTTGGTATTCGTTAATCAGTTATGGTATGATACATAAGACTCCTTGCACTCTCTGCGGTGTACCTTGTGACTTTGAAAATTATAATAACATTTTACTCATGAAATATAGGAAGGATTATATTACAGTGTTTAGTAAGTAGACACAGTAACTGCATATTATATTCAGCCACTAATCGCGCACAACGGTGAACAAGGATACTGTGTAACAACCTTTTGTCAATGTAATTTATACAAGACAGCTAGAGAGCGGTGTCTAACAACCTAATTAACCACACCACCAACCAGAAGGCCTCGCCAGAGACAGAGCCGCGAGGACATTGATCCTCGAAACTACCTCACGGTAAAGTAGTATACTAAGAATACAATAAACCTAACCTTTGTGTATCGTGAATATTGAAGTCATCCTGATTGGCAAATTTTTTCTTTGCTTCCTGATAAGTAATTTTCCCAGCTACATGAACACTGAACACACAGGAAGTGGGTGGTGGTGCAGGGGTGACGCCCTAGGCGCGATCAGATCTAGTCTTGGCCAGGGAGGATTGACTGGGCACCAGTTCTTAACTGCTAGTCTCTGTTCACTCAGCGGTAATTGGGTACCTGGTTGTTAACCGGTGGGTAGTTCGTGTTCCAATGAAACTAATGAGTACAGCTTATCCATGAGTGGTGGGTAAGGAAAGTTCTCAGCCTGCCAACAGGAGTCGGCTGTCGTCTGTTGAGCTACTCACCTATGAAATAAAAACTTAAATTTTAATGATAAACATTTTCAAAAACCACAGAGTGGCAGGACATGTCTCGCGCTTCTAGGGGCCCGAGTTCGAGTCTCCGATGATCTATGGGAATTAAATGAAAATAAACTTAATTACGAAAATTAAGTAAATCTCGCCAACCTGTTAATTCTTTTCGTAAATGAAATGTCATGAATAAGTGAAGTCAGTCCCACATGGGTGACGTCTCCGGATGCCATGTTGGGTGGTTATAATTGACGACCCTCGAACCCTTGTCCCCTTTATCTTCCACTTCCTCTCTTTCGTCTCCTGTGTCTCTCATCCGCCCTTTCCTTCCCTTACACTCTCCACTCTCCCCTTCCTCTTCCTATGAGCTGCTTCCTCTCCCTCCCTGTGCTACTGACTTTTGATTATTTAAATCCTGCCTTTACGTCCGTCTGCCAGTTCTGTGTCTCCCCCCCCTCTCTCTCTGTCTTTCTCTGTCTCTCTCTCTCTCTCTCTCTCTCTCTCTCTCTCTCTCTCTCTCTCTCTCTCTCTCTCTCTCTCTCTCTCTCTCTCTCTCTCTCTCTCTCTCTCTCTCTCTCTCTCTCTCTCTCTCTCTCTCTCTCTCTCTCTCACACACACACACACACACACACACAAATGGTGCTAACTATACGAATTAGCTTTACAGCGCTCTGGATACATCACACAACTTTGGTTCCAGGAATACATAAGGAATGAAGCCAATAACAGCAAAGCCGGCGACGTGCACATGAGCAAATACAAGTATAGTTAGCAAGAAGATTTCCCCATAAAAAAACTTAGACAAAACGAAACTACGCAAAAGGAAACCTTACGCAAAAATAAACTTTTCCTAAAAAAAGGAAACCCACTAAAAGAAATCCTTCGCAAAAAAAGATTCTTGCAACCAGAAACCTTAATGGAAAATAAACCTCTCTCAAGGAGAGACAGAGTTAAGGCTCTTATCCCTCAAGGAAGCGTTGGATCTGAAGTGATATTAACTTTCAAACTGCATGTAAAATAATCTTCATAAGCCAGAAAATGCAAAGAATTATCCGATACACATATATTGGACAATGAAAAACATTGGTGCATGGATTTTTTGGGAACAAGATAAGGTAGTTATCAGAGCCAAGTGTCAAACCAGTCTGGTGGCCAACCCTGTGGGTTGGTAACACAATTCAACTCAAAGGAGAAAGATTTTTGTTTTTGGTAATACAATTATAGAACCCTAGAAAAGAAAAAAAATACCTGTCATAGATGAGCCACACAAGAAATATACTTCTGGAGAAAACCTCGCTAGAAATTACCTTCCAGAGGTAAACGCTTGAAAGAATTTACCGTCCAGATCAAATCCTGGAAGAAATATGGTTCTAGCAACACGTCCTCCTGACCTGACGGTGCTTATAATAACTATTTGGTCGAAGGAACCAATATGTAGTGGTGGACCGCCAGTAGTGGTGGACCGCCAGTAGTGATGGACCGCCAGTAGTGGTGGACCGCCAGTAATGATGGACCGCCAGTAGTGGTGGACCGCCAGTAGTGATGGACCGCCAGTAGTGGTGGACCGCCAGTAGTGATGGACCGCCAGTAGTGGTGGACCGCCAGTAGTGATGAACCGCCAATAATAATGGACCGCTAGTAGTGATGGACCGCCAGTAGTGATGGACCGCCAGTAGTGATGGACCACCAGTAGTGATGGACCGCCAGTAGTGGTGGACCGCCAGTAGTGATGGACCGCCAGTAGTGATGGACCGCCAGTAGTGATGGACCGCCAGTAGTGATGGTCCGCCAGTAGTGATGGTCCGCCAGTAGTGATGGACCGCCAGTAGTGATGGACCGCCAGTAGTGGTGGACCGCCAGTAGTGATGGACCGCCAGTAGTGATGGACCGCCAGTAGTGATGGACCGCCAGTAGTGGTGGACCGCCAGTAGTGATGGACCGCCAGTAGTGATGGACCGCCAGTAGTGATGGACCGCCAGTAGTGATGGACCGCCAGTAGTGATGGACCGACAGTAGTGATGGACCGCCAATAATGATGGACCGCTAGTAGTGATGGTCCGCCAGTACTGATTACCCGCTACTAAATCACTTTCTGAACCATTCGTTTTATTGAGTCAGGAAATAAATCTAAAAAACCAAACCAAAATATTCCTCGGCCTATATATCCTAGAACATATATGTGCAATATCTGGCCTACGATCACGTGTATTAGACCAAGGATTACTAGAAGTTAGGTGAGGTTAAGGTCTTACATTTTAGTGTTACCTTGAGGTTACCTTGAGGTGCTTCCGGAGCTTAGCGTCCCCGCGGCTCGGTCGTCGACCAGGCCTCCTGGTTGCCGGACTGATCAACCAGGATGTTGGACGCGGCTGCTCGCAGCCTGACGTATGAGTCACAGCCTGGTTGATCAGGTGTTGGTGTAAAAAAAAAAAAAAATCGCGTTGTATAAATCCAATACTACAAAAGTCAACTTTCTGGTGGTCCTTCACTATACATATTGGTACTTCCCACCAAATACTGTAAGTTCTATCATTATTAGAGGACAGGCTGGCTTCTAGAGTTCAATCCTGGAAAATGTTACGTTCCAGAGTGGTGATCGTTTGTGATGTATATTAAGACTTGACAATAACTTATAAATGAATAATTTCAGAGCATGTAGTTTAATTACTCATAATTAATTAATTCTCTAGGCAAAATAACGCACTTTATGAGCTTGTAAATATCACGCCAGAAACTTAGAGACCTTTATGGTGCTAGGACTCTACTAGCATAAGTTACTGTACACATGGTAATGGTATTGGTGTGTATACTTCATACCCTCCTTCATGTGTGTATACTTCATAGCCTCCTCCATGTGTGTATACTTCATACCCTCCTCCATGTGTGTGTATACTTTATACCCTCATCCATGTGTGTATACTTCATACCCTCATCCATGTGTGTGTGTATACCATACCCTCATCCATGTGTGTGTATATATCATACCCTCATCCAGCGTATATACCATACCCTCATCCATGTGCGTGTATACTTCATACCCTCATCCATGTGTGTGTATACTTCATACCATCATCCATGTATGTGTATACTTCATACCCTCATCCATGTGTGTGTATACTTCATACCATCATCCATGTATGTGTATACTTCATACCCTCATCCATGTGTGTGTATACTTCCTAGCCTTACCACATTACCGTTCCTCCGTCCCCTTCTGCCCATCTCTTCAGTAACCATCCCATGTTTTCCCTCTCCAGGGCCCCTCTCAGCCCTCACGTGCACACCCTTTCTCTTCCTCCCCTCTTCCACCCATCATGTATTCCCCCTTCTCTCCCCTTTATTTAGCTTCCCACCCCATTGATCCTTTCGTTTATCTTCTTCTTCCTATCTTCTCTCGCCCCCCTCTCTTTCTCTCTGTCCTCTCTTTGTCCCCTCTCTGTCCCCTCTCTGTCCCCTCTTTGGTAATGAGAAGGGAGGCGCGAGGTCACGCGACACGCGTCCCCTCCACGTGTTTGTGACAGTTGCACTACGGGAGGGGAGACGGGAGGGGAGACGGGAGGGGAGACGGGAGGGGAGACGGGAGGGGCCGGCGGAGGCGAAAGGGGAGCCGGGGAGGGGAAGGGAATTAGTGTGTTATCAGGAGGAAGCGTCCGGTGTGAGTGAGCGTCCGTCATCATCTCTTATCATGTCCCGGCCAGCATGGTCGTCTCTCATCCGGCCAGCATGGTCGTCTCTCATCCGGCCAGCATGGTCGTCTCTCATCCGGCCAGCATGGTCGTCTCCCATCCGGCCAGCATGGTCGTCTCCCATCCGGCCAGCATGGTCGTCTCTCATCCGGCCAGCATGGTCGTCTCTCATCCGGCCAGCATTGTCGTCTCTCATCCGGCCAGCATGGTCGTCTCTCATCCGGCCAGCATTGTCGTCTCTCATCCGGCCAGTATGGTCGTCTCCCATCCGGCCAGCATGGTCGTCTCTCATCCGGCCAGCATGGTCGTCTCTCATCCGGCCAGCATGGTCGTCTCTCATCCGGCCGGCATGGTCGTCTCTCATCCGGCCAGCATGGTCGTCTCTCATCCGGCCAGCATGGTCGTCTCTCATCCGGCCAGCATGGTCGTCTCTCATCCGGCCGGCATGGTCGTCTCTCATCCGGCCAGCATGGTCGTCTCTCATCCGGCCAGCATGGTCGTCTCTCATCCGGCCAGCATGGTCGTCTCTCATCCGGCCGGCATGGTCGTCTCTCATCCGGCCAGCATGGTCGTCTCTCATCCGGCCAGCATGGTCGTCTCTCATCCGGCCAGCATTGTCGTCTCTCATCCGGCCAGCATGGTCGTCTCTCATCCGGCCAGCATGGTCGTCTCTCATCCGGCCCTTATGGTCGTCTCTCATCCGGCCAGCATGGTCGTCTCTCATCCGGCCAGCATGGTCGTCTCTCATCCGGCCAGCATGGTCGTCTCTCATCCGGCCAGCATGGTCGTCTCTCATCCGGCCAGCATGGTCGTCTCTCATCCGGCCAGCATGGTCGTCTCTCATCCGGCCAGCATGGTCGTCTCTCATCCGGACGGCATGGTCGTCTCTCATCCGGACGGTAGAGTCCATCATCTGAGCCTCAAGCTTCAGTTTGGTAATACGATTTCATTTCATTTCTTTTATTATACACCCCATACCTATCCTGTGGGCGGTGGTGGAAAGGGTTACAGAGGCACATAAGGGGTTTAGGAACTGAACCCCATAGTTCGTTTAGCTCAGCATTCTCTCATTCTCCCAGTTTAGCTCCTTCCATTAAGTCTGTGTCTGTCTCTCTCTGTCTCTCTCTCTCTCTCTCTCTCTACATCTCTCTCTTCCCCAAATTCTCAGTCTCTCTTTCTCTTATTCCCCCTTCCTCTTACAGTTCTCTTACACTCTCTCCCTTCACCTGGTTACACATCACCTGTCCATTACAATGGCTTTCATAACGAAGTTATAATGACGGTTTTCATCTACATTGTCATATAAAAAAAACATACAGTATAAGCTTGCATTAACCTCATTCCAGCATACACCTTAGGAATGAGTAGCCCTTAACGAGTAGCCATATATATATATATATATATATATATATATATATATTATATATATATATATATATATATATATATATATATATATATATATATATATATATATATAAAGGGAGCCGGTCGGCCGAGCGGACAACACGCTGGACTTGTGATCCTGTGGTCCCGGGTTCGATCCCGGGCGCCAGCGAGAAAACAATGGGCAGAGTTTCTTTCACCCTATGCCCCTGTTACCTAGCAGTAAAATAGGTACCTGGGTGTTAGTCAGCTGTCACGGGCTGCTTCCTGGGGGTGGAGGGGAGGTGGGGGTGGGGGTGCCGCTGGGACACTAAAGGCCCGAAACCATCTCAAGATAACCTCAAGATAACTGTAGAGAGAGACGAAGTATAAGGTCAAGCAACTGTTATGTGTCGTCACATTAGACAATAATCATAAGTCTCTCATCTACTAAGGACAACATATTCCTCAAAACGGGTGTGATGAAATGAGGTAAACTCACATTTACATATGTATGATTTTGCATGTAATCTTTTAGTATACTTGTAGCCCTCCTGTCCTGTGTGTATGTTCCTGAAGATGTCGCGTTGTTGACAAAACGTGGAAATGAGACAGAAGGTATTAGTCATTTAGTTTTTGCTTCACCCTCTTGATGGTAAAAGGTATTTATATGGAACGAAAAATATTGATACAAAATTAGCAATTGTAATAATGTTATTGTGCTAAACTCCATATGTATAAAAAAAAAACCTGCTCCGGAAATATATTCATATATAATATAGACTTTATGTACATATATATATAAGTTAATATAATATAAAGAAACATGGTGTTATCCATTCCACTAGGTTCCTCCCTCCCTTTTCCTCAATCTGGTTCCACTGATGTCACTCTTTTCCACTTACCCCTCTCTCCCTTTCATTTTCCAACCGCACCTTCTTCCTAACTCTGGCCTCTGTCCCTTTCTCTCTCTCTCTCTCCCCCTTCTTTCTTATCAGTTGCAGTCACTGATTCTATTGACGTTTCCTCTTCACTTCTTGGGCCCCTCTATCATCACCATGTCTTAATTACATCCATCCTTCTCAACCAGGGTAACAAGGAATCACACCTCAGAATAAGTGAGAGTAGCTGTACTTGTTTGTGCTTGTGTACTTACCTAGTTGTATTTACCTAGTTGTGCTTGCGGGGATTGAGTTCTGGCTCTTTGGTCCCGCCTCTCAACTGTCAATCAACTAATGTACAGGTTCCTGAGCCTACTGGGCTCTATCATATCTATACTTGAAAATGTGTATGGAGTCAGCCTTCACCACATCACTTCCTAATGCATTCCATTTGTCTACTACTCTGACACTGAAAAAGTTCTTTGTAACGTCTTTATGGTTCATTTGGGCACTCAATTTCCACCTGTGTCTTCTAGTGCGTGTGCCCCTTGTGTTAAATAGCCTGTCTTTTTCTTCCCTATCAATTCCTCTGAGAATCTTGTATGTGGTGATCATGTCCCCCCTCTAACTCTTCTGTCTCCCAGTGACGTGAGGCTTAATTCCCGAAGTCTCTCCTCGTAGCTCATACCTCTCAGTTCGGGTACTAGTCTGGTAGCAAAACGTTTGAACCTTTTCCAGTTTAGTCTTATGCTTGACTAGACATGGACTTCATGCTGCAGCCGCATACTCCAAGATTGGTCTGACATATGTGGTATACAAAGTTCTGAAAGAGTCCTTACACAAGTTTCTAAAGACCGTTCTTATGTTAGCCAACCTGGCATATGCCGCTGATGTTATCCTCTTGATTTGGGCTTCAGGGGACAGGTCTGGCGTGATACCAATCTGCCAAATGTTCTGGAACCTCTTGTTGAGTTCTTCACACACCTCTCTGTCATTTTCTGTGTACCTGTCCTCACCCGTTCTAAGTTTCATCATCTGTTTCGTCACTGTTGTGTGTGCGTGCGTGTGTGTGTGTGTGTGTGTGTGTGTGTGTGTGTGTGTGTGTGTGTGTGTGTGTGTGTGTGTGTGTGTGTGTGTGTGTGTGTGTGTTCTCGCCTAGTTGTGCTTGGTGGGTCGGGCTAGGCAGCTAACCCCAACTTCCAAACGTTCTTAGATTAATGCAATAATTCATTCGCACGCTTTTATCATATATACATTGAACATTTTCAATCGAATTAGCTTCAACGACTTTTACGTCTAACTTGCTCCACTTACTGAGAGCTCTAACACTGGACAAGTTCCTTATGACTTCCCTGTGACTCGTTTGCGTCTCTAGTTTCCATCTATGGAAACTAGATGGAAATATTGTTCATTCTGGCACGACCTGGTTCTGCTGTTCGTAGCTTTGAGCAATGCTAATTTGTCTACGTTCTCAATTTCCCTTAGAATCTAATATGTTGTTATCATGTTCCCGCATATCTCTCTTTTCCTCCAGTGTGATAAGGTTCAGTTCTTCCAGTCTTTCCCCATAGCTGAATCCTCTCAGCTCCTAAACGAGACTGGTTCCATATCTTAAGACCTTCTCTAGATTTTTTTTTTCAGAGGAGGGTTTTCGTGCTGGGGATGCATATTCAAAAGTGCTTCTCACCTTTGCTGTGCATAGGACTCAAGATAGCCCCATTGTTCCAAAGTTTCTGAACGATATTGTACATTGGCCAGCATGCCCTATGCTGCTGTTGTACTCACCTAATTGTACTCACCTAATTGTGCTTGCAGGGGTTGAGCTTTGGCTCTTTGGTCCCGCCTCTCAACTGTCAATCAACTGGTGTACAGATTCCTGAGCCTACTGGGCTCTATCATATCTACATTTCAAACTGTGTATGGAGTCAGCCTCCACCACATCACTTCCTAGTGCATTCCATTTATTAACTACTCTGACACTGAAAAAATTCTTTCTAACGTCTCTGTGGCTCATCTGGGTACTAAGTTTCCACCTGTGTTCCCTTGTTTGTGTCCCACATGTGCTGAAGAGTTTATCTTTGTCCACCCTGTCAATTCCCCTGAGACTTCCCCTGCTGTGTTTGGGTTACTCTGCTTCGAGGTCTTTCTCCTTTGTTGATTGTGGAATCTGCCTTACATTTATTCCCTACTGCTGTACTTGTCCTTGCATTACTGTTTCAATCTTCATAACATTGCATTTGGCGGGTTAAACTCTAGGAGCCCTTTTTCAGACCACTTCTCGAGTACGTCCAAATCAGTTTGCAATGCATCACAATCTATCTCTGTCCTGACTATTCCTTGTGTATGTGTGTGTGTGTGTGTGTGCGTATGCGGGTATTTGTGCGTTTGCGCGTGCAGGTATCTTTGTGCGTGGGTGTGTGGTTGCGTGCGTGGGTGTGTGGTTGCGTGCGTGGGTGTGCGGGTGAGCCAGGCATAAGGAAATACTGTAAGGTGGAGCGGCGACAGCGGCGATAACTAAAGGTCAGCCCCATTCATTTTTAATGTTGCGACCCAAAAGCAGGCGAACAGTAAAGACGACATTTCACCTCGATTTCCTACTCAATTTCTCCCCTCTTCCTTCCCCTAGTTCCCTGTTTTTTTTTCTGCCCTCCTCTGTTCCTTTCTGTTTCATTCCTCTCGCTTCCATAAATGATGTGGGAACTAGAGGGGCCAAGGGATGTCTGTTTACCCGTGGAGGGAGTCACTATACTCTCGATCAACCAGTGATGGTGAAGATGGTGAAGCTATTGTGACGTCGTATCTGTGTTCATAGTGCTTATGGTTTCAGTTCTATTTAAATTAAATTTTGCCTCGAGGGGCGAGTTTATTGGGCAGCGCCACTCATCTTGTGAGTGGACACACCGCCATAGCAGCATGTACAACACTCCCCAATAGGAAGAAAACCCACTGGGTTGTTCATCCTGTCACTTGTACCCAGACGCAGCTGGGACTTAACTGTCTCAAGTGAACAGCTCCTCAAACAAGAAGATTAACATTCGACAACCCTTAAAATCTTAGGTTATCTTGGTATTTATTGGTCACGATGATGGGGACCCCGAGGGAGGGCCATCAGTGTGATGGGCCTCCCTCGGGCACCCCATCAACTCACAGGCTGCCCTTGGCCCCCATCACTGACAGGGCTCCCTCGGGCACCCCATCACGCCCTTCATTATCCCATTTCCTTAATCCTCCTTTTTACTGTTTTCCCCATAACTTTAATCTTCTCTCCCTTCCTCCTTTGTTGACAGTGATAATGGAGAGGGAGACTCTCGCAAGCAATGATGCACATTAGTTAGTTGATACTGGCACGACCTGTTCGTGCTGGCACGACCTGTTCATGCTGGCACGACCTGTTCATGCTGGCACGACCTGTTCATGCTGGCACGACCTGTTCATGCTGGCACGACCTGTTCATAATGAAAATCCCTGTTAATTTTTCGAGGTCCTACTCATAATGAGAGGGCACGGGTTCACTATTTCTCTGTAGATGAAAGTTTGGCCACACTCGCTAGATCTATGGGCCCAGTTCCTGAACCCATTTTGGGCCTTTGTAACCCCCCAGCATGGGTATGGGGTGCATAATAAATTAATAAAATATAATAATAACCAGAACCTGTTTACTCTTAATGTTG